AGGCTGATTTGTTATTTTGTCCGTAATGGGCAAAGTACAGGTTCACATTTAGTTATAAAACTGTATTCAAAGAAAATCTGACACATTATGAAAAATGTATTTACTTAAAACAAGCCCATGACAGCACACGCCGCTTATCTTATGTGCCCCCCCTACATATTGTTCCTAGAGTCGCCACTGTGCCCAAGGCATTTAACCTCCTTATGAAGCCTTCTCTTATTACTTTGAGTAAGTTGAATAATATTGTAGTGTGAAAGGTTTACTTTAAAGGGGCCTTATAGTACAAGGCCTGTTACGTCATCTTTGCCTAGGCAGTAGTAGTATAAAATCTTACTTTTGTATGTGTAAATTCCTTTTCGACATACTATCTGCAGGTGATTTTTTTCAAGGGGAGGGGTCCCAAACAATATAAGCCAGGTATGCTTTAAGGATTTAAGAACAGACTAGAAAAATTCATATTAAAATGTACACAAGTATTATTAGCATCATTGGGACAATAGATTATATGTGCTCTAGCTTATTTGACTAGTTATATTTTATATCTTCCCCTTTGTAGGGCAAAGTAAGAAAGTAAAATGTATTGAGCAAAAACACGAAACCTTAGCTATTAGCAAATTTTTTTTTTTTTTGTGACTAGTAAAAGAGAGGCTGAACCTGACATAAAAAATAATTGTATCTGTGGCATTTTCACACCATTCAGTAAATGTTATGTAGGTCCAGTGTTGTTAAAATCTTTAAACATTTTCTTGTCCTTTCTGTTGTACAGCTACTGTGCAAAAAATCCTGTGTACATTAAAAGGTTGTCTGTTATGAGTACAAATATTTTGGTTGTTATTTGTATATCACATCTTTGAATGTATAATATTGATAAAGAATTTGTACCTTGTTTGAATAATTTTTATTTTCAGAGTATATGTTTTATTCTGTAGATGGTAGCAAAGATACGACACTTAAGTAAGCCCTCGCGGGCAGGGCCCTCCTTACCATCTTGTCTTAAATTGTATTGTGACTGTAATGTCTTCCTTATATTGTAAAGCGCTGTGCAAACTATCGGTGCTATATAAATCCTGTATAATAATAATAATAATTAAGTGGCGTGTAGCCACAAAACATTTTGTATTGGACAGTGAATTTGTGCCCAGACTAAACACTGAAAACTCTTTATATATACTGGACAAGCAGTTAAAGCACTTTAAAACAAGCCCTTATTCATTTATGTAGCTATAGGCATTGTGGGGAAATCCATTTTTTAATTTAATAACATAGGCGCTGACATTTCAGCTTTTTCCCCCTTTACTTTTTATGGAGGGCAGAGTCTTGGTAACCTGCCAGCTCTCTAATGTATGCACACAGTACGTGCTCTAAGCTGTTGAAAAATGTCTGAAATCCAACTTTGGAGTCTTTGCTGTGATCTTTGAGAGTGAATTACTTTACAGCCCAAGTGGCTAGAGAGGTCAGTGCTTGTTTTATAGCTCTTTTACTGCTAGTACATACTTTAAAGTCCATAATCTTGGCACAGATGCACTTTTTTTTGTCGTACATTTATTTTCTACCATACAGAAGAGTTAATGGTACAACCAGCACTAAAGTACATCTTATCTTTCAGCGCTTATATCTAAGAACCTGTTCCTGTAAAAAGTACATTAAAATGTTAGACAGGTTCACTGGCAACCTTTCTACATACGTGCAAAGAACCTTGGTTGCCAAACTGCACAGTCACATTTTATATTTAGAATATCGAGAAAAATCTAAAATGTTATTATTAAATGGCAGTTTTATTAAGGATTTTGTGTATAATTTAAAACACCTTGCTAAATATAGTTATCAACTGACTTCCTGTGATTCAGGGACCTTGTTCGCAGTTGGGATATGAATCACTACTATGCAAACATATTTTCAAGAGCAGGCTTTGAAGTCCCTGCTTGAACAAAATCAGCAGACATATTTATTAAGTGATTTACGTTGGAATTATTTTAAATCTCCTTAGGCGTATTAGGAATGCAATGTATTGGTTGGGATGCTGTGTCATGATTGGGATGGATGAAGTTTATGGAAAATGTTTAGTTTTGGATTTATGAGTCTATGATTGTTATTCTTGAAACTTTATTAACACTACTTGTAAAACACAAACACTGTCAATGCCACTTGCCTCTGCCTCCTATTAGCTTTAGATATTTAATGGCTGTTTCATACTAGATATCGCCTACATTTACAGCAAGCAATAAGTATCCAACTTGAGAAGCAAGTTTGTAATTAATTCTCCAGCTGATCTTTTGCCCCTGCTTCAAAACTGCCCGTTTTAAAAACTGTGAAAAAATATGGTTTAAAACGTCCACCAAATTATCTGTACCCTTTCCCTCAATAAAATATAAAACAAATACTAATCCCCTTTCAAAAAATATCAAGAGTGCCCCAGCTGTGAACACAGATCCAGCGGCCTCGGCTATGCATGACGTACCAAGAGTCTCAACACAGGACAGTGGGTGCCTGGACCTTCGGCAAGATTTAAAGAGAAGCTACCCCATCAGGGCTGCCAGGAGGGGCCACCCTGCTCTTAACCCCCCATCCCAGTAAGAGGGAAGGGTCCTCCTTTCTTGCATGTTGTGCAGGATGGTGGGTAAGCTGGAAGGCATCAAAGCTGATCCAGGTAAGCTCAACAGACTTCAATTTAATGCATTGTACCAAGGGACATATATTTAGCAAAGTTAGGGAAAGGTAGGGAAAAATAGTGTATCAGCTGGAAACCCCAAGTCCCAATGCGAATGATTTATTTAATATTTATAAATATATGAACCTGGAACAAAATTATTCTTGGCTTCAGAGAAATGCAAGAAGTCATGCTGCATTTTTTCTAATTTGTTAGCTTTACCTATACAAATTTAATATCAGAAAACACAGTAATATAGCTGTTAAACAGTACTGCAATCTTCTTTCTCCCTGCATCCAAGGCAGAACCCCCTTTAGGACACCAGCCATCCCATCTGACACTGCGTCTCCAGGCAACCCTCTTCTTTAGCTTCTGCTGAAGGTCCTGCACCCTAAAATCCATAGCCGAGGCCCACACTCCTTTTTTTATTTTATTTCTGGAATCTGTAGGCAACAGCAGGGGCTAAAGGCAGAGCAGTTCAGGCGCTGGCATGGGAAAAAAGTCTGCAGCAAACCTACACCACCAACATACCCATCAAGACCATAAATTTGGCATGCACATTGCAGAACATAAGGAGGAAGGTAATTTGGGTGTCTTGAACTGTATCCATTGTATGCAGCATGCTAAATGAAAATCAGTAGGAAGTATAACCATTGCTACAGGCATGTGAAACCATGTTGCCCTTCAAATAAGTCAATTTGCACATTTTATGAGCATTCAGAAATGAATATGAATTATGCTGCAGACTTATTTCCTATAAAAGATGGTTTTATTATTTTTAATTTCCTTCAAATACAAATACTTATTTTAAAATATATCTATTGTTAAGCATTTAGCACCCATGACTGAATGTTAGGATGGAAACATCAATCACATTAATAATGTAGGGAGGGCATGTTAGGAAGGAATTAGGGAAAGTGCAGCATAGGAAGAAACTATATAGCTATATTAGATTTTCATTTGTATATATAATTCTCAAATTCTTCTTCTTTATCCTTACAGCATCTTCATTACCAAATAAAAGGTCTCCCATGAGGTCCGCACTTTCACCACCACAGAGAAGTGGTACATTGGTCACCTACAGCACTACTTCAGTAGAAGGGGATACAGAAGACCAAGAGTTGGAAAACCGAAGGTGTCAAGGAATGATTATGAATCCTTACCTAGAGCACTGGTCCCCCACAAAAGAGGAAGTGCGTGTATCACTCACTGTGGGGAGACAAATCAAGCAATCCTTCAGGCGTGTGTCTCCTGGACCTCTAGCCTCCTCCACAGAGGATCCTCTTTGTTATCTTTCTGCACATACAGGCTGGGGTGATGAAAGTGATTCAGATATTCCACCATCTGACAGGGTTCCTGAATCAGCAGAGTCTACACAGTCTGAGAGGGATGGAGGTAGTCAACAAACAGAGATAGGCTCCTTATCTGCTGGAATGGTTTGGCCCCTGATGCAGGATCATAGGAAAGATAACAATGGGGATGATGATCACCAACTGGCATCATCTCAGCGTAGTGAACACAGTTGTAATGAATCCCTTCTCTCTTCTGAGTATCCTGAGGGTGATCAGGCCTCTAGCGCCACAATGCCACGAAGACTTGGAAGGCCTCGAGCTAAAGATGACAGAAGAGCTCGTTGGAGAGCTAGTCTTCATCGCCTGTTGCAGTTGGAGAAACTGAGAGACCAACTCTATCGTCAAGAGTTGGCCTTAAAAGAAGAAGAGATGACTCGCCAAAGAGAGGAGCGTGCAAGAGATAGAGAGATTCACCGACAGCTACTTGGTGTGCTTGGTGATATTCGAGATGAACTCAGAAAAAGAAGACAGGAAAGGGCAATTGCTCAAGAAGGTCAGGCTACGGAAGGCAGAGGCACACCATGCAGTGGCACCACCACTACTGGCCGAAGGGCTCGTGGAGGACTAACACGTCCGAGAGGGACACGCATTTCTTCTGTATCAGCCACTTTGCCCTGTTCTTTTGCTCAGTTCTTTCTGCAGGATCCAAGAACTGGGTCTTCTATGCCAAGCACTATCACCAGAGGCAGCAGTGAAAACCCCACTTGGGCTGGGAGCCGTCTCACTGGCCCCTTGCGCAGGAGGGGACAACCTCGTGGTCGTCCTCGAATCCACCCCAAACAAGTAATGGGGGATAACCATGGATAATAAAGAACTGGCCTTTTTCATGTTTTACAACAATAAAGGAAGTGTTGAAGAAATAGGTGTCTTTTTCTTTGCTATGAATAAATAAATATAGAATACAATTGTTTCATAAATATATTAAATATACCACATGGTAAAAAACATCATGTAAATAAGAAGGTATAGTCTTTAAAAGTATTCACAATATCATTATATATCACTAGATGTTACAGGCATGAAAGAAAACACTAAGGGCCATATGTGTTTGGGCTGTGCTGGATTTTTTCCAGCGCAGCCCAAGTGCAAGACAAGGCAATTTGCTTTGTCATGGGTGGGCATAATTCACACTGCCCCGTTGCGGTGGTGTGCGCTTAAATACTGCAGTGAGATGTGGTACAACTGCATTGCACTATGGTGTGCCCATAGAAATTAATGAAATGTCATGTGATGTTGTAGATAAAACCGCCACAACAAACATCTGCTGACAAGTTTGTGCCAAGTCCACATATACTGTCCCCTATTCTCCAAGCCCTGATGAAGGGGGGCAGAGCTTAGCCCCTGAAATGTATTGGCTTTATTTATAGTTCTTGTTTTATTTTACAAGCTACAACATCACAGTATGGCACTTCAATTCTACATTCACTGTTTCCAGCCACAGCCCAAGGTAACCATGGAAGTTCTTTGATTCAAGCCCAGCATTCAGATGTCATGCATCCACATTCCCTCCCCTACCCCCCCATATCATGGGATGGGACTTAGAAAAGCTTTGGGGATCCAGTGGTTTCTATCCACTCTACTTAAATAGATGAAACGGACATTGCCTAACTTACCCACAGTGCTAGAGAATACTAGGTGCACTTTAACTATACTTGAAGGAAGACAGTACACTGCAGCAATGCTGTCATAAATTAAATAGTTTCAATCACTTACCCAAACTAATTCATCGGTTAAAGACCTCTGAACAATGAGCTGCTAATTAAAGCCGCATGCTAGCAAAAGATGGAGACAATCAATAGACATTGTGAGACGGAAATGAGCTGGGCTAATCTGAATACTTTGACCTTTCACAATGTTTTAGAAGCTAGCAGATTAGCATACAGCTGTGCATCAATCCTCCAATCCATATCCCTAGTGGCTGCAAGTCCATTCATATACTGGCTGTGACCATCGCAAGCAGATGTTAATTACAATTATCTGTGGCATCACCAGCACCCTTCAAAAAATCTGTAGGCCTGTGTTACTTTGCTACATTATGTGATTCATGTTACTGAACTATTCAGTATGAATTTAAAATAAGAGACTTTTGAAGAAGTTTTTTTTTAATGTGATCTTGAAAGACAATAATAACTAAATGCAAGATTATCTGGCCTGGAATATCTGTAAAAATTAAGAGTTGCTCTATATCTGTAAATTTTGATTTAAAGTACATATAAACCTTAAGGCCCCATCTTTACATCTTAACTCATGGCTTTTAACACACATAAATGCATGTACACAGGTTAGCTATTGTATTAAGGTGCCCATACACCTTACAATTATCTGCAGATTTTCTGTGGTCTGATGGAAAAAGTGCAACAGATTGACCCAGGTGGAGATTACTCCATCCACACAGTTAAGTGTAGATGGAGGAATCTGTGGCACCTTTTCCATCTGACCACAGAAAATCTGCAGATAATTGTAAGGTGTATGGCCAGCTTTAGAAGGTGCTATTACACAATCTTTCTATGTCTATGTGTTGACATATATATAAGGGCCTCTTGACGACAATGGCAGGGCATGAAAATGCATGATTGTTGATTGCACAAATAACAATTGCATGGAAAAGTGTGTATCCAGCCTAACTAAATGATGTTTAGTTAGCTAAATCATTACATATCATAAACAATCACAATCACCTTTTTTTCATTCTTTGTTGGATCTTAGCGATGCAGCCTCTTTGCAGCCACTTCTTGTCTTCATGAACTGCATCAATGGTTGCATGGCATTTTTCAGGTTGGGTTTTGTTGATGGTGACAACAATGGGCCATGTCTGTATAATGTGTGTTGAAATGGCCACATGTAGTCTCTGCGCTATTTACACTAACGGTATTGTGCGTTTAACGCTACACTTATGTGTGACTGAGCCCTAATGAAATCAGATGTTTCAAAAAGATCAACAACTTTATATTACACTAACATTTTAAAGAATATATGATATTTTACTGATTGGGTTTAGATCTTCTTTAGAGCTTAATTCCAGGTAGATGTAAAAATAATATTTAATCTGTTTCTATTTTCATAAAAAATCAATAAGCATATTTTAAATATAGCAAATTTAAGTAGCTGAATCCATTTTTTTAGCTTTATAATTTCCTGCACAACAGAACAAACTTGAAGAGGAAGAGTCAACATTGTGAGCCAATCAATTTAACATTGTGAGCATGCTTACAGTAGAAATGAGCAAAGAGATGACCTTATGATTTATTGTCCAATAAAAAGGGGTGGGTCCTTAACCAGCAGGTTTTTTCACTTGATCAGTAAAAAAGCTTCTGACAGGTGTAACTTTCAGACATCTAGAGGTGTCAGAAGCTCTTAGTCTTTCTGCACCACCTGAATGTCAGGCTGTTGTGATCTGACAAAGCCCTGGTACATCCTGGTAGAAGGTTAATGTCCTACACCCCCTCCCCCCCAATCATCCTTTTGGCCCATAATTATGATGACCTGCCTTACTGGCCAAAGGAAATGCATGGAAGTGGGCAGGCGAGATCCTACACTACCAGGAAGTACCAAACCTTTGTCCTGTCAGAACGGCCTTACATTCTGTCAGGGACTGAAAGCTACTGTGGGGATGTACAGGTTCCTCTAGCACTAAATACCGGTCAGCATCTTTTGTTCGTTAAAATGACACTGTTACTTTAACTTCACTAGAGGTCAGGTATCTGGCTATGCTTTCTTGCTGGGGTACATGGATCACATGATTGACTGAAAAATATTACACATTTTCTGGTAGGTAAGATGGTGAACTTAGCTGTTTGCTTGGAGTATAGCTTTAAAAACATTGTGTACCTGCCGACTGGAACAGCACATAAAATGGTGTATTAAACTTTTCAAAGTCTGCAACTCCTGGCGCATTAGGCTTATCAAGTTAACACGTCTTCTGGGAACAATACCATCTGCTGCATCAGGTCCCAGAACAGGTATTTCACCCTGGATTTGGCAACTGTGAATGATTGAACCTTCTACGAATACTGTGAAACTGGGATTACATAATTTTTAAAGAATTCATGTTTTATTCATTTCTAATAGTTGTAAATCTATGCTTTCCTAAGTTAGAGAAAAGCTCATCAGAGAATGTTCTAATAATTGACCTGGATAATCTGTAGTGTTTTAATGCACTCTCCAGCTCCTACCCAAATTGCTTGCTGTGTCTCAGGACACTACATCACTTTATAAATCAGTGTATGTACTTTCTGGGCTGAATAATTCGTTCCTTTGTTTGTGTCCACTCAGCATTTGGGGCCCACAGCACAATTATAATGTGCAAACAAGTAATGCAAGAAGCAATGAAACCACTGCAATTATTTCTATGCCATATGCTCTGCCTGTTTGCCGGTGCCGAAGCTAATTTCATGTTTTGAGACAGGAAAACATTAACATTTGTATGGCATATATGTACAAGAGTTTCTCAGCTTTATTTTACCACATACCTGTTCATAAATTTAAATTTGCCAAGCACCACTGTATGCATTTTAGCTACACTAAAAGGTGTGCCCTTTCATTTCCAGAAAACCATATATAACTATATCGCCAAAAGTATTGGGATGCCAGTCTTTACATGCATATGAACTTTAATGGCATCCCAGTCTTAGTCCATAGGGTTCAATATTGAGTTGGCCCACCCTTTGCAGCTATAACAGCTTCAACTCTTCTGGGAAGGCTGTCCACAAGGTTTAGGAATGTGTCTATGGGAATGTTTGACCATACTTCCAGAAGCACATTTGTGAGGCCAAGTACTGATGTTGGACGAGAAGGTCTGTCTTGCAGTCTCCACTCTAATTCATCCCAAAGGTGTTCTATCGGGTTGAGGTCAGGACTCTGTGCAGGCCAGTCAAGTTCCATCACCCCAAACTCGCTCATCCATGTCTTTATTGACATTGCTTTGTGCACTGGTGCGCAGTCATGTTGGAACAGGAAGGGGCCATCCCCAAACTGTTCCCAGAAAGTTGTGAGCATGAAATTGTCCAAAATGTCTTGGTATGCTGATGCCTTAAGAGTTCCCTTCACTGGAACTTAAGGGCCAGGCCCACCCCTGAAAAACAACCCCACACCATAATCCCCCCTCCACAAAACTTTACACTTGGCACAATGCAGTCAGGCAAGTACTGTTCTCCTGACAACCGCCAAAACCAGACACGTCCATCGGATTGCCAGACAGAGAAGCGTGATTCGTCACTCCAGAGAACACGTCTCCACTTCTCTAGAGTCTAGTTGCGGCGTGCTTTACACCACTGCATCTGACGCTTTGCATTGCACTTGGTGATGTAAGGCTTGGATGCAGCTGCCCGGCTATGGAAACCCATTCCATGAAGCTCTCTCCACACTGTTGTTGTGCCAATCTGACGGACACACAAAGTTTGGAGGTCTGTAGCTATTGACTCTGCAGACAGTTGACAATTTCTGCGCACTGTGTGCTTCAGGATGCGCTGACCTTGCTTTGTCATTTTACCTGGCCTACCACTTCGTGGCTGAGTTGCTGTTGTTCCCAGTTGCTTCCACTTTGTTATAATACCACTAATAGTTGACCATGGAATATTTAGCAGCAAGGACATTTCACAGAATGCCTGAATCCAATCATTTGGAGGGGTGTCCCAATACTTTTTGGCAATATACTGTATATATTCATACTGTATATAAAAAATGTGAGTTTTTGCACTTAATGATCAATATATAGTGTTTCTTGTTTTGTTCTTGTTTATTAATCATAAAAACTTACACCATGACATACCTGCCGGGAGTAGCCCTTAATCTTTTAGATATACTACTGGGTACACATGTATAATTCATAGAGAAACACTGCTTAAAGTGTATTTTGTATAACAATTTGCAGTCAAAATTGAGAAA